AACAATGGACTTTCTGTGAACAAGTGCGAATAATGTTTCCACTCTTTTGCCGTTGCCAATGACAATCTGTTATTTTTATAATATATTAGTATAATTAGAATATATTATTAGTATATCTGAAGTACAGAGCTCCTGTTGGGATTCGGATTGCTCCCTTGTTTATTACGTACATCACCTCAGTGCAGGATATTTACATTTATTCAAGTGTTGTGCAAATCATGGCTTCTAAAAAAACAGAAAGGTGATTTCAATTGAAACAAAGCAAGATATCATCAGAAGGAGTGAAAGTTGACAAAAACTTCCTTGTCAAATGGAGAGAGGTTCAGGAGCTTACAAACACTCATTATCCAAACACAGTTGAGGCCAACAGGATCAATGATCTCTACAATGACATCCTTGCCCGTCATTTCCGACAGGTATTGAAGAAGAGAGAGAAACAGACCACCTTGGACATGTTTTTCAAGAAGCCAGCTGCCAAAAAACAAAGGATGGAACAAGAGTAGTTGACAAGAGGATGGAACAAGAGGAGTTGACCCTGCAAGCTCGGGTAGTCTCTCCTGAATCTGACTCCGATTAAAAAACAATAAAAAGAGACCTGCTGCAATGTATACAAAGTCTGTATCTGTATGAATGTGTAAAGAAAGTGTTCCTCCACCTCCTCCTCACAACATCTGACTACCTAGCATAATTGGTGACTGCTCCATTTTCATTTTTTTATGGTACAGTACGGTTATTTTATGCTGCGGAACAAATTATATGTTTTAACTTGTATTTCTATGGGAAAATGCATTATGTATAACGGACTTTTCACTTAACGGACGTGCAGCTGGAATGGATTAAGTACATTATACGAGGCACCACTGTATTAAGAAAAAAGTACTTTTGTTAAAGAAGTTTGTCCTGTATAATTCAATGTGTGTTATTTCAAAGATTAATATTTTAAAAAGACAATTCAATTTGACAAGTTAAAAAATTTATTTTAATAAGATTAAACATTTGATATACTTATATAAAATTTAAATAATAATTAATATTACCAAATAAATTTTGAGATTTTTTAAAATAATATTAATAATAAAATAATATAAAATAAAATAAAATGTCTTCTTTAGGAAGCTAAACTATTTATTCAAAAAAATAGTTTGGCTACCTAAAGAAGTTATTTTATTTCATTATAGTTGATTTCATTTTGTTAAAATCACAGTGCCAAGAGTTACACAATTTGAAGAAAAAAATAAAAAACACAATACAGGTAACCCCCATATAACACGGCACTTCTATAGCACAGATTCACTCAAACACGGTTCGAGAATTGGTACCATCCCCATATAACACAATACTGTTATAGCATGGATTCACTCTGACACGGTTCGAGAATTGGGTAAAACCCTCGTACAACATGAAATGTAATAAAGTTTTACATACTTATGTAATAATAGTTCACAAAAATTGTTATTTTCATGAACTATTAATACTTAAGTATGTAAATTTTCTTTTCTCGCCTTCTGTTGATACACATGGTTCTTCTCGAAACTTGTTTCAATGTTGCCATATCTCGACACTTCTGCTTCTGATGTTGCCAGATGTTTTTCCCTTATTCCATACTTGCTTTATTCTTCATAAGTGCTTAGCACCATATAAGAAAATTTATAAAAATCTTTTAACTAGAAGCAAGCAATCTAAAATTACATACTTTTTGCAAAAGGTAAAGCATGGATCTGAAGATAATGCAGAAAAATGCTCAGAGGATAAGGATAACTTGCCAAAAAGAAAATGCTCTCGGTTAATAGTGCTTTTAGTGATGACGAAGAAAACATTGTTTAATTTATATTATTATGTATCACTTAAGATAATTTTAATAAAGATATTTATCTTAATTATGAAAATATAATAGCATGCTTTTTTAATTTTTGGAACCTAACCCTCCTTTTCGTACTAGTTCTTTGTTTCGTATAACACGGATTCGCATAACACGGCAATTTTTTGGAACGTAACTACAGTGTTATACGGGGGTTACCTGTATTTGAAAGATATTTTCATTTTTTAAGTGTTATACTTTGTATCTCTAACTGCTTTTATCTTTTCTAAAAATACTAATACTTTACTATTCCTATTAGAAGCCAATCCTTAATTTTACTATTTCTTTGATAAACTATCATAATAAAGAACCCTCCCCATTATGGTATCATGCTTTGTTTTTGAGAGATCAATATTTTAATATATAATAAATAGCATATTCTAATGAAATCTGAGATTTTTTTTTGCTATGAATAACTGCCTTTTCCTTAACCATTTCTATGATGTTTTTGTCCTAGTTTAAATATACTGGAGCTATTTAATCACTATATGAACAAAATGTGCAGTAATTTTTCTACAAAAAAAAATAGAATCACAATCCAATGTTTTTACCAATTTGTGTTACAGCTTTATCTGTACACAGAATTAAAATTACAATAATAAAAAATGTTTAAAATCTATATATTTTGTGCATTTTACATAGTTTTATCACGAATAATATACAGTAATTATGGGCTTTAACAGAAGCCAATGTTTCAGTGAGCTTCTAATAAGGACAATAAAATTTATTTATCTAGAAACATAATGTATTATTTGAAGGGGAAATATTCATATTAATTACTTATCAAAATGTCTACAATCTTAATCCCTAATATACAAGGTCCGTTCAAAAAGTGTTGGACCTTTGGTCGGCAAAAATAAATTTATTGACTTTGAGGTACAAAACCCTAATCCCCTTCAAAGTAGTCTCCTTGGTAATGTATACACTTCTCCCAGCGTTCCTGCCATTGCTGGAAACGCTGCTGGAATGCATCTTTTGGAATGGCCATCAGCCGGTCCGTCGCATTCCGCACGATGTCTTCTCTCGACTAAATTCGGGTTCCTTTTAGCAGCATTTTCAGCTTGGGAAATAGCCAAAGGTCCCATGGAGCCATGTGGGGAAAGTACAGAGCATGACGAACCACAGGAGTATTGTGTTTGGCGACGAAAGCCCGAAACAGATGCGCAGAATGGGCGGATGCGTTATCACGATGGAGCTGCCAAGTTTTGATCGACCACAGATCCGGTCATTTGCGTCGCACTATATCGGAAAGACGACGAAGGACCTCCTGGTAGTACTCCTTTGTGATGGTTTGGCCTCGTGGTGCGTACTCACGACACCCCACCACACGAGAGTCGAAAAAACTGTCAACATGACCTTTGATATTGCTGCGGACCTGCCGCGCTTTTTTTGGCCTCGAGGATCGTCCCTGAAAGCCTGCTGAATCTTGCGAATGGTTTACGCTCGGGTATCGCCAAGGTTTTTGGCAAAATTTGATGTAATATCGCTGCTCACGTTGTTAGTCATTTTCCAGCTTAGTGGAATCCGACGAGAGCGCACTACATGACCTCACTCATAGGCCGATTGCCAACGACTGACGCTTCCTGCAGGCAGGAAAAAATTCAGGGCTGTGCATGACTATCCCCTCCACAACTCCACCGAAGGAGGCCTCTCGCGCATCATTGGTTTACGCGGAAAAAAAAAAGGCCCGATACTTTTTGTACAGACCTTGTATGTTTAAAAAATTTTCATAATGAAATTAGATATCAAAACAACTTTTGCAAAATATGCAGTTATTGAATAAAGTTTCAATCCATCATGGTATAAAATAATTATACAGATTAATTGCATATACAATTATATCAGAAAAAAAATCATCTTACAAATGTTTAAAACCAAAGATGGAAAAAAATATCTAAATATAAACACATTTCTCTGATTAATTATTATTTTAAATATAATACAGTTTAATGATATCTTGATGAACACAAAAAAGTAGTTTAAAATGTTATCAATCAAAATAACTATTGTACTACTGACTGCCATCTACAATATTGGGAAATAAATTTTAGTTAATAAATTATTTCAATGATATGATATACGTCTCAAAAATTTTAGAATTTCCTTTTATTACAACGGAAGCTTTAATTATCAAAACTATTTTATGAAAATATGTAAAAAAATAAAAGAATTCAAAAATTGAAAGTAAAAGAACATATCATTCACATACATGATTAAATGTGTGATTATAGATATCAATGTCACCTGTACATTTGATATATTTAACATGTTATTTAAATTATTTGAGTTTATCTTTTTATTTGGATTGCTAAATATTTCAAATATCAAGTTAATTATAATTAATAATCTAATATTTCACACATAAATGTCTCAAAAAGTTTTATAAAATACTAATTTATCCATTTAATAAATATTAAATGTTCAACTATGAGAACTATTAATGCAACTTAATATAAAATTTAAAAAAATATATCATTTCAAAAAATTGAAAATTTTATCCTAGTGATAATAGCCATTATTATCTAGATAAAATTAAAATAATACATATAGTGTTTAATTTTCATAATAAGATATAGAACAATTAAGGATTAGTTCCAGACGTCATTATGAAAAATCTAATAATACTACAGTTTGAAGTAAAATAAAAATTTAAAACGAAACATTAATTTTTTATTTTATATGAAGTCCAAAATCTAAACGAATATTCTTTTTGAAAGTTTTCTTTACAGAAATCAAATTCCTTTTTAATTGAGTATATTATATTAAATATATGATATACTTCATTCTGAAATTCCACAGACAAATGTTGAATGCACTCTATGACATCAATATTTAAATTTAAAATATCCAATCCATAAAAATAAGTATATTTTAAAATACAAAATGTCTTTTAAATATTGCAATGTTGTTATAAAATATATTAAGCATACATTGAGCCCTCATAATTTTTCTCTCCATACAAAAAAGAAAAAACTGCCCCTTGTTTCCAGGTTGTTGTTGGACTACCAGATACAATCTGTGGAATTTCAGAATAATGCATTTTTTAAATACAAATGTTAAACCTGAAGCAGGTTTACGAATAAATCAAAAATTATAGCTTCAATTAAAAAATAATAAGTTACAAATTATAAATTTTACTTACCTCTGCTAGCTTCAAGGGCACAAATTCTCCAAGTACTTCTTTTATAAAAGCTTGACGAGTAATTATTCCATTAAGATTAGAGGCACGATAAAATGCATCACGAAGCCGTTTTAGTTCTGCATCAGAAACTAAAATAATAATTAACTTTCATAAATATTTTTTGTTCCTTCATGTAGACATTTTTAAAATCTAATTTTAACTTTACAATACCATTTGTACAGTATATGTGAAGAAGGCATTTATGATCTATGATATATCATATGATTACTAGAAATTCTATTAATATTTTAACAGATACTGTTAGCATTAAATTGCTTAAAAATGTGAATTACTAATAATAATCATTCAATAATTTAATTGAATTTAATATTTTTTCATTTTGTTTAACAAAATAAAATTCTCTCTCTCTCTCCTTTTAATCAGTTATATTTTTAACAAGATTTTAATAAGTAGACAATAATGTTTTATTAATGTTTCTATCTAATTTTATTAAATAGTATATGTAGCAATAACATACTATATAATAAAATTTTTAGCAACGTATGTGTACTATGAAGAATTGTTTTGAATATAGATCTATACATCATTATATAATTACTACTACTTTTAAATTAAATCAAAAATGGATTAATCAAATAGCACTAAAACTATTTTGAGCCTTGAATATCTTCTATTTCTCAAAACATATTTTTCTTAATAAACATTGTCTAGAAAGTACTAGACAATATTCATTAAGATGGTACTAGAAAGTACTAGACAATGTAGATGGTACTAGAAAGAAATGTGTCAATTCCTTTCTAGTACCATCTTAATGAATATTAAGATCCATATGAACACACATTACTCTTGTTTTAGTTAAACAGCAAAAAATTTCATTTAATATAATTCAAATACATACAAATAAATATTTTTCCTTTTCATCAATTTTTATAAATTACTAGCAGAGAAACTCAGAATTGTCTAGAAATGTATTATATCCTTGAAACAAAAAGTATCAAAGAAGACATGAAAAATAATTTACTTAAAAACAGATTCATACATGTGTTTTAATTGTAAAACCAGACACAAAGACACAAATTGTTTTCACTTCCTGCTCTTGAAAACATACATAATGTTGACTATGGAAAATACAAGAAATATACAGGTTAAAGTTAGCAACTCTAAGAGACTGTCTTTTGTGCTTTGTAAATTGGCATTGCAAACATGAAACACACTGAAATTGAATAAGTATGAATTCAAAAGACATAGGATCCATAGGAATGGTGGATAATTGAAAGATGAATACTGTACAGCATTTCCTTTAGCATAGTCTGTCAAGTACACCAATTAAAATTGAATCACTTTTGCTTTTGTCATTGAACTGTACCAATTAAAAATAGTCATTATTTTAATTTTTTTTTAATTTCACAGGTCTGCAAAAAAATTTTGCTGAATTATATGTTTTAAAGATTGCAGATTCTAAAAATAACTTCCGTTACATCCCATCATGTAAAGGCTTTTTGCAAAATAAAAACAAATTTTTGATAAAAACTCTTATTTATTACAATGAACTAAATATATTATATTTTCAACTAATCAACAAATTGTTTCTGATATTTATACACGATTTTAGGTCTACTCTTTTTTCTTATGAAACCTTTTCTTCTTTTTGATGTTTCTCCAAACTCGTTTCCGATTTCCTTCTCTGGTTTCTCGATTGAGCATCCAACAGTAGTCAGCTAACATTTTGACATCCCATTTTCCTTGGTAACGTCTCTCGATATCACGGACATTCTGTTGAAATCTTTCACCCTGTTCTTCACTGTAGGCTCCCAAGTTTTCGGAAAAATAGTCAATATGGGAGTGTAAAAAATGAACTTTTAAGCTCATCTTGCATCCTTGAGCTTCATACGCTACTACCAGCATGCGTTGTACAATGGTTTTGTAGTCAGGGTCCTTAGTATTCCCCAAAAACTTATGCATTATATTCTTGAAAGAGTCCCATGCTTCTTTTTCCTTTTCTCCTATTGTTTCCAAAAATCTGCTTTTTTTGGTATTTTTTTCGTTTTTACCAAGTTGAAATCTAAGAAAATGTATAAAAACCCTATGCAGTTTTTTACTTGCAGACCTGTGTTTTTTTAAGTATTTTGATTTCCTTCTATATTTTTGCATTCATGAAATGATGATGATTTACTTTAATCAGAAAAAAATTCATGTAATTATCTGTAAAATTTCTGTAATATTCAATATTTGAATTTAATTTCAAAGTGATTGTGCTCATTAAAACAAAATTTGTATGAATTGCTTTCTTAAAAGCTGAATTCTTATTAGTTTCTGAACCACCAAGATTTTGAGGCTAGTATAACCTCAGATATGAATTCACAATCTCTAAAAGCTCAAGTCTCATTGTTTTCCAGAAAGCATTGCTATGATTATCAGTTTTTTGCAAATGGATTTCAACTGGTAATCAGCCAACAAATTCAGATTTCCAAGCAAACAAACTGAAAATTCAAATTGAAAGTCCTCTTAGGTACATTTTTATGTTATTTATAATTTTCTATTAAATAATTCATCTTTTCAAAATGTCACTCATTATCTCATTAATCAAACTGATAGAAGGATCTACTGTATATAAAAAAATAAAGTTTATTCAACAAATACAGGCATTGAATTCTTTCTTGATGAGAAAATAATCACTGAAAAGTTTCATTACATATGTTCAGACCATTTCCAAATACATAAAGAATAAACAAACAATAATAATTCTTTTTATGTTAGCTATAAAAAAATATTTTTCAAACTATTTTGATTATATATTAAAGACCACATTTGGCATTCTGTCAATATTTTAAATGATATAGTTACATGCTGTAAAATCTGTTATTAAATCATAAACCAAAAATTATTTAGCAATTACTGTATTTCACATTAATATTAATAATACATTCATTCCTTATTACACGAACACTGACTTTATAAACTATAAACATTTATATCTACTTTTCATTATACAAACAATATTTCACAATTACAGATAATATTTTTCATACAATATGTATTGACCATAACACAGATATACAGTGCAAAAGAATGCAATGTATCTGTTGTACTCTTAACAAATAGTATTCCAACAATCTGATAAGAGAGCAAACACGATAATTTAAAACTTATTTTATTTATTTGCTTTAATATATGGACATTTTGGATAATAGGTCAGCTAATGAAATTTGATATTCCTAACAGATTGAAAACTACAGTATGCTACAATAGAACTTACAGAATGAATCATATTTTTTTCAACAACAATATTCTATTTAGACTGTTTATGTTACAATGAGGATTTTTGAAAATAAGGCATCAAAAAAGTGAATTAGTCAACCTAGATTCAAGATGTTTATCAAATTAAAAACTTTTATATAATTTATTTTAATCAATATTAAGAGAAATCTTTTATCTAACACTACATGAAGAATATAAACCATACTAATAAGTAAAAGCATTACATAGCATCACTATCACTACAGTATTAATAATAATACTGTATATTCTATTACATTATTAGCATTAATTAATTAATTTAATGGTAAAAAACATTTAGCTACTGCTAAAAAACATTGTAATAAAATTATTATTTGTTTTTGTAATTAAAGTTTCTCTTATTAATAGTTTGGATATCATCCAGGGCTGTGGAGTCGGAGTCGGAGTCGTGGAGTTTTGGTGTTTTAGCCGGAGTCAGAGTCAGTAGATTTTTATGCGACTCCACAGCCCTGATATCATCAAATCATACAATATGAATTTTAAAAGAAAAATCTATTTTTTTGAATTATTCAACAAACCAAAATACAATTTCAAATAATCATTTTATTTTTCATACAATAACCATATAAAATTTGTATATTAATAAAACCTAAATAAAATTATTTAAAAGAAATACTACATATTATTAACATTAAAAACATACATTTTATTTTTTTATGCTCATAAAAAATATGGTCATGAATTTGACAAGGACAAATCACAAAAAGTAGAAACTGAATCAACCATCATAACAACAATGATAAAGAGAAACAGAAAAGAAGGAGTGAGAAACAGCCTTGAATTATTTATAGTACATATTATTTTCTGTAAATTGTTCAAAAAGTTTAGAAATTAAAATGTTCACTACAGTATGAAACTATTCTATCTCTAAAATATGATGATTTTTGGAATGAAAATATTAATATATTTTATATATATACAAGAATCCTTATTAATTTGAACTCAGATAGTTCAAAACTGTACATTTAGCCTGGTTAGAAATATAGAGATTTACATGTTAAGGAATTCAGTTTGTTCAAAATATGGCTACTTCAAAATCTGAAGTGAAAATTCTGTCCAAACTGTAATATGCATATGTTAACTCATTCATTTAGATTGAAGTGTCTCCATACCATAAGAGAACAATAGACAAAGCACAACTCTAATCTGGTCAACATGGCTTTGTTTTTATAGTAATGCATTTTTGGGTGTCACTTTACTCATGGAATACCCTTTTTTCTCATATCTCATAAAATATGGCTGGACAAGATTGGGCTACAAGAAACAAATTGAGATATTTGTAGAGCTCTAGGCTACTACATTTGGGCAACTTACTACTTTTTGGGCCACATTAAAAATAATTTGGATTACTTTTTATAAAAACCTATCTGGCAACCAGTGAAGTTTCACCAGATACATGCTGTTTACCTGCAGTTTATTTATACTATTATTATTAATTATTAATTAACAAAAATAGCATTCTTTATAAGTAGCTATATTCTGCTTGTTACATCAGTTTCATGGCAATTGGCATACTGTACAGAAATATGTAAATCTTAATAATTCAAAACTTGATAATTTGAAGTTGCAATTATTTCATCCCTTGAATTTCAAAGTAATGAGGATTTCCTGTATATGTATGGTGCTATCAAAAAGTTCCAGAACATCCTCAATTGTTTAAAAAATACATCTGCAGTTGTCACTGCAGCATCTGTTATCATGCAGTTCTTATTCAGGATCATTAGAACAATGAATCTTGATATTTGCAAATCCATCATTGACTATAGAAAAAGCCAAAAATCTTTCAATAAAGCAAATGAAATTTTATGTTAATATTTTTTGTATACAGGGT